GAAGTCCCCCGTTAATTGTTAGAACAAAAAGAGAAACATGTTATAAGTACATAAAACCTTCATTAGTATAAAACCTTTTGAGTAAAGACAAAAAAAAATCCAACTCAAAATAAATAATATCATATCGATATGAGATTGTGTGTTAAATTCTCATAAACCGTAAATATATTAATAAGTACGTGTTTAACAATTAAAAAATCACATTTTCTTTATGCTGAGTTAATACATTTACAAGGGGGTGAGGTCAGCATATAAACCTCTTTTATTTTGGAAAACAGATTAAAGATCTATGTGTAAAAAGTTATGGGTTTAATATTATCGAGATCAATGGAAAAAAAATGCTTAATTTTGATGATAATAGAGAATTTGATTATTCTCATATAATTAAGATATAACTAAACTTTTAAACAAAAAAAATCATGAATAAAAATGTTATAATTTATTAAAATAATAAACACAATTATATCATTTTTACATTTAAAGCGCTTTTAATTTTTTTATCTGTTTTATTTTTCACTCTCTTTTATTTATATTGAATAAATAAGTTTATATATTAATTATAGTTAACTAAATTTTAACATATAATTTTATATATTTAACTCAATTTTAATGTATAATTTAATAATTCAATATTAACAAATAATATATAAATTGTAATAAAAGCATATTATCTCTCTTATGAAAACAGAATATAAGTATTTTTCTTTCATGCTTAACATCGGAATCTTACTTCTTCTTCTTTTTTTTTTTTTTTAAAAAAAGGAAGATAATTAAGTGTAAATGACTTAAAATGTCATAAATTTAATTTATATTTGTAAATATATTTTTTTTCCAAAATAACATACGAAGATTTTTAAATTCTAGCTAGTATATGGAGTGTGTTTTTGTTGCCTAGGGTATCTTTTGACCAAGAACTTGAGACTAATAAAAATTCGCTTAAAAGACTAACGTTCTTATATTTACACAAATTAAGCTCTATGGCCACATGCTTATATATATAAGGTACTTGTGTATATTATTATTAAACTCAGTAGTATGGAGTTTAATAATAATATACACACGGTGTTAGGGATTTATGACTTTGAGACTAAAATCACCATAATACTATAGGCTTCTTCAAAGGAAAAAGAAACTAAAAGCACACCCCAAATTTGGAGTATCCCTGTTAAAGGAAGAGAAAGATAGGGAGAGAGAAACAAATATATGAGAGAAATTATACGATGAAAAATGAAGAGAAAAATAGAAAGAAAGAAAATTTGGATAGAAAGGAAATGGGGAAAAAATAACTGAAGTGAGCATGATGTGGCTTCTCTTTACTATCTTCACGGCATTGGTCGCTCCTTATGAATGATACTTGATTGTGGATGACGATATGCCACATTTTATAGAATTAAATAGTGCAAATGCATGAAACTCGATCGTGCCTATATTGCTATAAAGTATATATAGATCCGGAATAGTTGTGGATGTAGCACTTTAATTATTATAACTTGTACTATGAAGAAGTATGAGTTGCTTAGATAATTTTAGTGTCCACTTATATAATTTCACTAGGGAAGACTTGCTATTCCTAGATCAGCAGCGGGTGAAAAGTCAAAAGATTGAGTAATCTTAATGAAGAATTTGAAAAGAACAGCACATAGTTGGAGCTTTCCCACAAGAGACTTTGTTCCCTTCGAAATGGGTAATTTCTATAAAATACACGAAAGAAACAAGACTTGCATCATGAAATTAAAAAGATAGCTATAGTTATAGTGACTTGTCTGATAGGTAGACTAGGACAAATAGCTCGACATGTTGTTGCATGTGCACAAAAACATCATGTTTCATTTGAAAGATTTGGAGGAAAAAGAAAAGAAATAAACAATGGCATGCACCTTTCATTACGAGTGAAATCAGACACAAGAAAAGGCCACAAAACTTAATTAACCATACATGACCAGGACAGGACTTACTGCCATAAACGTCATAGAAGGAATGGAGTGGAAAGGAGGGCTCCTTGTATGGGGAGCAGACAAAATCCTACATAGTTGAATTAGGAAGATGAAGATGAGTTTATAAATACATGAATATTTTTATTTATACGAGATATTTTCAGTGATAATAAAAAATAAATTTATAAAAACTTAAATCTATATCGATATGAATATATGTGTGAATCTCTGATGTATTGATAAAATCATTAAGTTTTCAAATGAAAAATAAGTTTGTGAACAATCTCTCTGCATAATGTTTAGAAGATTTTTATAATTTTCTCTTTTTAGTTGAAAATTTTGAGGAAGTAAGGAAGATAGAATGAGAACAAAATATTTTTCTTTTAATATTGAAATTTAAAGAGAAGACAAAATGGCATGATATTGGCATCCCCTCTCCTTCACACTCCATTTTCTTCTACAACAGCAAAGACAAAAGTCTTATCCTACTAAGTGACATAAATTACATGATATTATTTGGGTTGATTAAAGACCAAAACTTCATAGATATTTACTATGAAATTCTTCTCGATAACTTCCTTCAATGTTTTGCTTGTTTTCATCCTCTCCTTTTAAATAGATTGAAAATCATACAATCTACTCTTCTTAGTTCTTACCGGTGTTCAATGCGACTTATCCAAATCACCTTAACTAATTTTCTGTCATCTTTTCTTTGAAATACTAGACTATTCTCTTTTCATGATATAGAATCATTTTGTATCTTATTCCTGCTCTTAACATTCTAATTTTGCTGCTCTCTTAATAGGTATTTTGGGACCACAAAGAACCTCTATGCCATTCCCATTTGCTAAACTACGTTTTCTTCTACAAACATGTAAAAAGTATACACATCACTAATTAAATAAACTAGAAAGTTAAAACTCATCAAACTGCTTGGGAATCTCTTATAGTATTAATTGATGCTGGATCCCAGGTTGTATTTGACAAAACCTCTCCATTGCTTGCTCTCCGAATTTATCACAATGTGAAACCCTATATTTTTATTACAATAGGAGGAACAACATAAAACTAATATCCATTTCCATCATGATGGAAATAAAGAATTAATAAGGACGCTTTAAACCCTTTAGAATTCGTTTGTTGCGGTAACATGAGATCCAAACCATGGTGGAAATAAGAAAATTTCTCATTCTCAATTTCAAGTATCAGAATTTAATGTCTGAGGTAGTTGCTTATGTTAAACAAACTACTGTCCAAATTAAAAGCCAAATGACTGAAAACACATTCCATAATTTACCATATCAGTATACATGCTTGTTTCTTAAGCTGTCAACGCACTTTATATGTTATCAAAACTCAAGAACCTTCCGTAGACAGAAAAAGAAAGGAAAACAACTTATAAACTTCCTCTTCTTCTAAATGAATTAAACAAGTAGAAATGACATCAACACCTCTTTCCTTTTGTCTCACATCCTTTTTTGGATATAATTTTCCTCTAAATAAAATCGAATATCAAAAAAAAATTGAAGTCTTACATTCACTAGAGATTAAACAATAAAATAATATAGAAGTAAAGAGTAATCTTCACTTTATAAACTAATTTTGTAAGGTTGAATTAGGTTTAAAACTATGAAATATAAATACCTCCTTCATATTAAGAATTCATAAATTAGTTTATTACCTAGACCCGACCCTCACTCTTTTAATCACATTGATTGATCAAAATTTATTATAGAAATTCTACTTTTATATTAGAAGTATGTTTGTAGCAATCTTCTACTTGTTTTATTCATTTTGAAGAAGCGAAAGTTTCTTAAGCTGAAACTGTTGTTCTTTCTTTTTCTGTCTACGGAAGTTTCTTGAACAGGTCTGATTCTTTGTGTTGTTTTTTTATTTTCTTTTTGCTTTGGGTTTTAATCACCCCGTATGCACATTCTCTCTCTATATAGTTCCATTATTGTTTGGACCAAATACACACATTTAATGTTCCGATGACTATGGATCATGCGTGTAGGTACCTGTTCCTGTTTTATTCATCATGAAGATAACGAAGTTTCATTAGCATTGCATGCTTCTTTTTGCTTACACTGATTACGATAACCCCATTTCGCATATGGATATGTCCCGTGGTTGGGCCCAAATGTGTTTATTCAATGCCTCATTGACCGTTTTATGTTGATGTAACCGCAGGCCCAAATGAAGCCCGTTGTTCCCCCTCTAAAAAGTTCAAATGATTTGACGTTATTCTCTGGTTTAAATTCAAAGTTCATTTCAATAACCTGTATATTAAACATTGGTGACTGTGACTTATCAAGATAGAATTCTAATTTTAATTAAACTAAACATCATTTAAATTTTGTCTAAAAAACTGTCCATGTAAAGTCGTACCAAAATATCTGCTTATGAGCAATAACTTTTTTCGTAAGCCAGTTTCCCATTTTTACACAGTTCATGTCCTGATTAAAAAATGAAGCCCTGCTAGAAGGTAAATTGGAGCCACGCAACAGGAGCTAGGACTTTCTTAAATTGGGCTTTGGAAGGCTTGTTAAATTGGGCAGATATTTGGGCTTCGGGACAGGGATGGTGATGCTTTGAAAAGTCGAAGGAACCATGACCAAATAAAAATAAACAAATAAAGAATACCACTATGGGCTTTTTATGCTGAAAATGCCCACTATGATTTTGCATACATGGTGGCCTTTTTTTTTTTTTTTTTGGCTTATATTATTTATACATTTTTATTACACTTTTTACGATACTACTTTTTCTTTCTATTTCCCTTCATTGTACAAAATTTTTTGTCCAGAAGGATTGTATAAATACAAATTATATTTTCTAATTAATCAGCAAACAGATCAGCATAATGATACAAAACTCGGTAGAAAAATGATAAATAAAATAGACCAATGGCTCCTAGACCGCGGAACAATATTTAGGGTTTAAAGATTAATTGTATCAATTAAAATTAGGAAAACAAGTATATGAACCTAAATTGAAAGAAATTTTATAATTTATTCACATTACTAATTATGGAAAAAAAATGAAAACATAAAATGAGGCTCAAAAAGAAAAGAAAAAGAATTATATTATTGCCTGCTGATATTTTCAAATGATTGACTATCATAATTTTATGGGGGGAACCTTAACTACGATCTACAGAAGTCATAAGATTCCCAATAGTAAAAGAATTGAAAAATTATAAGGACTATTATTGACCTTCGTCTGAGAGATGATCAGAAGGAATCTGGCCAAAAATGTCAGGACAGGAGTTCCAGTTTCCTTGATTTCGGGCCTCCCAATACCCTCCTAGGTAGTGGTAGGTGCCACTTGCTTTATCCCTCGCAAACCACCGTGGTTCCCAACCACTCTCTTGCATTTTCCGAGCCTGAATCCCATTCAAACAGAAATATCAAATAACAAACATAACTAATGAAGTTGACTTGGAAAATAAGTATATTGCAAAAAGACTTCACTCCTCTATAGTGCATAATGTTTGTTAAGAATTTGGCAACTTTCTAATTTATTTTTATACATGGATGTATTATATTACAATACAATTACAATTTAAACCGCTGCATTTTTTTAATTATCTATTATCGATGTATTTTTTGAACTACACCCACTCACTATAGAGAATTCAAATTCAAACATATAACTGAAAATACACTATATTAATTGCTCCACGCTAGCCTACAAGTGAAAACAACGAAGGAAACACAAAGTCACAGAAAAATGAAATATTTACCTGGCGTTGCCGTTGTTCTAACCGCAACTTTTCTGAATTTGCCATCTCATACTCCCCATTTTCCAAATGCCTTTGGTCTGGTCTTAACCTGGAATCAGTAGGTGGCAGCTTTTCCTACGTATGCACAAATAGAATTGATAATAAATGTGGAGCACAAGTATTCGCAGTATGCTAAATATAATATCAATATTTTCGTTCTTTTATATTAAATTTAAATTATCTTTTACTTTATGGCTCTTCTTCCGTGTTATGGAAATGGTCACAACATCTCATTACTGATGCAAGGCAAGCAATAGTAATAATATACACCAATTCAAAAATGCATGTGGTAAAAGGTGGAAAATACAACACATTTTTTCCACGAAAAAGAAATGGAATAAAAGATAAGCTGGCAACACAAAAGAAAGTATTAGTTAAAAAATACCTTTAATCCAGGGGTAAGTTCATTTAATGTGATGGCAAACCGAGTGAAGTTATATCTAGTGGGAAACTTGGGAGGCTTGCTACGCTTCCATAGTAGATGGGTATCTGACATCGATTCATAACCTTTCCCCTTCCCACTATAGTCTCCATTAATATAATACATGCTGTCGTCCCATTTTCCAAGTAATGTAGACAATGTTTTCCCATTTCTATCCTGAACAATACCATGAACCTGAAAGAAGTTCTCATGTCAAGTAGTACTATATTAGACAGAAGTTAATATCATAGCAAAGACAATCGTCTGAAAAGATGGAATCCATGAAACAAATATATGGCACCTGATGAGGATTTCGATCAATTATAGATTGTTCCTTGAATTTCAGTTTACATGAGTAGTCTCGATTTCCCTGTATACGCATTGTACCATAATGATCACAGTACAGTTTTCCCAATATAAGATTGTATATTGATGTAGTAACCTGAAAGAAAAGCTCCATATCAGTTTAGAACCAAATCTAAACACAGCATTTTCTTTGTGACCATTGGGTACATGGTAGTGGAAGCAATTAAATATACCTTACTCCACTGAAATACTTCACCATCATCAAATTCCAGAGTCAAAATGCCGACAGGATCAAGCTGAATTGACCGACCCCAAAATTTACTCTTTAAGTTGCTATCCCCCCAAAATTTCCAACCTGTACCCTCACAGTGACATGCGACTATCATTGGGTGATGACTGACCTGAGAGGAAGCAGAAATATATTAATTTAGATACAGAAACAGACATTACAAAATGCATAATCATATACATTATTGAAATTCAAATGATATTGTGGTCCATAGGGTTCTATGGAATTTAAGCACCCAATCACATCAATTTTTATTCATAAAAAATAAACGGAGTAATTTTAAGATTCTAATTGAGTTCTTCCTTCAAACTGTGTCTTATATTAGGAACATTTTTTTCCTTCTTATCCAGAAGCAACAAGTTCCAAGGACGTCAAATAAGCATGATTAATGAAATGTAGGAATTTAAACAACTAACAAATTACTACCTCCGTTCCTTTATAATAGTCGTTTAAGGTTGTTTTACACGAGTCAAGAAACATAATAAATTTTTCTATTTTCCATAGAATGATTATATGTTTCCAATTTTACCCTCTTTAATTTTTGCTTTATTTTAAATGCATATTAGTTATCATGTGTAAATTAATTTAAAGTTAGGTGGGATGTAAAGGTATAATTGATAACATGACAATTAATGTTGTCTTGAAATTTAAAAATGACAAGTAAAAATAGAAACAAAATTTTATAAAAAACTCGACAGATAAAAAAGGAATGGAGAGAGCATATAACAACTGCAAAAAACAAAGCTACATGCTCACACACATACACCTTTTAATTCTCACAGGTGGCCTTTCAATAGTAGGTTATTTTATTTGTAAACTAAGCACTCGTTATGGCTTGTGGCAATCCTTAACCTTGGAATTGCATAACCTCCCCAAAATTCAAATACATTCCCCAACATTTTTCCAAGGTATCAAAGATTATTGACTCGCATATGATCAAAATAATCAAGAAAAGGATCATCTATTCAATAATATAATGTCTAAGATTAGATTATACCTTCTCTGAGAAAAATCGAAAGCCTTTATCAGGAAAGTCAGCCTCATATGTTTCCCCTAGTAAGGGATTAAAAGGTTTGCAAATTCTCCCTTCAGTTGAAGCATAGGCAGATACAGCAAAAGCAGCAACATTGAGAATCCTCATGAGGCTATTACCCTGTGCATAATATCATCAATGAGTTAAAATAGTTGGAAGGTTGTACCCAGTAAATAGTTATACAATTAAGAACTAACACCAAAGTAAAAAACACGGCAACATGAAACTTGGGTGCCATATCCAGACTTACCCTCCTTCCCCACTCATATGCTCGGTCCAGAAGATATGAATACTCCATTTCTTCACAACATTTTTGCAGGGAGGAGAGAGGCTCGTTAAAATAAACAGGAAGGCAAACTTTGGTTAGATCCTTCCCAATGTTATCCTTAATCATTGACCAAAGACTGACACCTTTCTCCTTTTCAACAGGGTCAGGCAATTTCTTACGACGCTTAACATACGGATAGTTGGTTCCAACAGATCTAATTGAAGGATCAACATCCTCCTCTGATTCAACTGCATAGAGTCCTTCATCCTCTGAAGAGAAAGATGAGGCCCTAAAATCAGATCCGTTACTTTTAAAAGAATTGGATGATGATAGAAAATCACGAGTGTCAAAAAAGGCAGTGTCATCGTCGTCTGTCTCTTCCTCTGCTGCATCATTTCTCTCATTATCATCATCAGACTCACTTGCACTTGCTTCGGAATCAAAAAGTGAAAATGAAAAACAAAATGAAAATAGTTAAGAAATAAATTAGTTTATCATCATTAATGGCTGGCATGTAAGCAGTTCTAGTTTCAAGAAAATGCCAAAACAAAACAGAATCGATGCAAAGATCCTAAACATACGAATGGTCACCATTCAAGCACTTACCACTAGATTTTTCCTGCCTTAATCTAGAGGAAGCCTCTTGATCATTCAACTGTCTTTGGCTCTCATCAACAACAGTGTTCTCCAGATCAACCTTTTCTGTCTACAATAATGAAGTACAAATAAAAGTTTTTTACTACACAAGGAGAATAAAATGCTAACCTTAATCAATAGGACAACAAATAAAAATAAATCCTTGAAAAACTAAAAGATCAAACAAAAACTCTCCACAGCCAAAGAAAACCATTTTGTCTAACCTGGGAGGAAACCAAGAAAACAAAGGTAATTCATTGGATGGGCTTATTAACGGTCACAACCTTACAAAGAAATATTGGAACATTTCCTATTTCAGAGTTAACCAAGTTCACTGACTCTCTCCCAATTAAAATAAAAACAGCAATTTGGGGGAAAGAGGGGGGGGATGGCAGTAAAATCTCAGAAAGGCACACTTGTAAAATACATTAATGCAGAAAAACATGGTGACCTATTAATTCCTTCCTAATTATTCCAAAACTTCTGCCTATACATTAAGGTGAAGAAACTTATTGGCTAAACAAAAATATAAAAACTCCTTCAGATTAGGTATAGTATTTTATTATTAGTCAAACTGCTGCACCTTTACATGCATGGCCTTTAACTAGTGGAAAACTTTTACAGCAAGATAAATAAATAAACCTGGAAATATATCTTGTTAGTGTCTCATTTCCAACCTATACAGTTTTTTATAAAGAACAAAAAATTGTGCATATATATCATTAGTCCAATTGTCCAAAGATTAATTTCTAACAGAATTCTACTACTAATCCATTCAAAAATCATCACAAAATGTAAGAGAGTAAAAGAGGCTCAAAACCCACTAACCATAACTTCATTCCTTTTGGAGTTAAGATTTATATCTTAAGAGACACTACTGATACCAAATCCCCTGCTTAAGGCATCTAACTAGATAAAACGAGACTCTCGATACTGAGATATGGAAAGTAGTTGTTCATCACAAACCAATTCAACAGAGAAGGGAGAAGAAATTGATAGAAGAACACTGAATATTATTAATTACTGTTGCACCTCTGTCAAGTGAACTAAAAAAGAAACCCTTAGATTTCGGCTCTAGGTTGTAAGTGTACAAAAGTACAAGAAAATAACAATAGGAAGAAAACTTGAGAAATTACACATCAACAGGATGATATTGATAATACACACTCCTCTATTTTCTTTTAAATGAAAAGGAGAAAGACATGGTCCCCTCCCTTCTTTGCCGAGAATCTAAAAAGAGTACTAAGAATGACCAGCTTTCTGTGCAGTAGTAGAAATCCACCAAGAATAGCCAGTTTGATTGGCATGAAGTTTTCTACTTTTCATTAAATGTACCTCTAATTGCCGCAAAGTGTCGATTAGCGTCACCTGCTTCTGCTTAAGCAGCAGAAGCTGGTTCTGCAGTGCAGCATACTCATTTCTCATAATTTGCTCACTGTCTTGAATGGCTGCCTCACTAACACCCTCCTCCATAAGCCGATGCCTCAGTTTGTCAGTCGAAACAGCCACATTGTCCACCGGTGCCATCAGCTCGCTGTTGGAAATCCGAGGAAACATATCTTTCACAGCCTGCAAGGCCTCCATCCACGCCACTCGATCCTCGCGAGCCTCAACCCTCAAGTGAAGTCTCTTAGTCCCAGTGAAAACAGAAAACCGCTTGTCATCCGATCTGCTCTCACGAATTGTCGAAACCTACACACAGAAACACAGAGATGAATGTAACAAACAAAACTCACCACTCACAACACCAAAAAAGAAAGCGGGAAAAAATCATCAAGACACCACATCAAAGTTTCTACATATCAATTAACATCCCATCTAATAAATTTTCTTTTTGTTTCCCACAGATATCCATCCTCCTTCAGAGGCAATTCTATTTATCCACCCTAAATGCAAGCACCTCTCCCAGCGAGGATTCGAACCTTAATTTGCGAAGTTAAAAGGAACTAGCCCCTTCCGCTTCACGTAATCCCTGTTAGGAACCCATCTTATAAGTTAATAACCAATATTTTTAAATTTAAAAAAAAAAAAAAAAAAAAAAAAAAAAAAAACACCGCA